AGTACAGTATCGTCCGCAAAGGTAGCAATCATTTCATTTGCATCAGTTGAGGTTGGATTGTCAGTTGTATGAAGTAGATAGATGACAGGAGCTACTCGAAAATTAATTTGTAAAAAAAAACGTACAACAGTAGATGTTTTTCAATATTATTCAATATTCAAAAATTTTATTCGAACTCCTGCAAGTAGTCCACTGTGCTCAAATCAAATGCTATTAAAATTCTTTTATGTGCTTCGCATGGTGCACTAAATATATGAAGCAAATGATCAGATTCGCTGCACAGTCCCTGTAATGTCTCCCGTCATAAACTCTACCGCCAACAAAAGTCACTATTAAGATTGTCACTTATAGATCGAGGCAATCTTAAATATTGCTACATATATTTCAATTGAAAATTAATTTTATTTAGAATGTTTTATCATTTGAACACGATTTGTGTTCTTCACAAATCTAAGGTGGCACATCAATAAAAAAAATGGAACTATCTATAAATAATTTTCATGTAGGAATTAATAATGATTTTGACTGAATAAGAAGATTTTGTAAGTACAAGAGTTAGTAAGAGTTATTTTGAGAAACCTATGTGAAGTCACTACAAGAGAATATAACAGCAGTTAACATCGTCGCTAATCAATCATCTCAGAATTAGATGAATGGTCATAGTGCTTTAACGATGAATAGACAATAAAATATTTGATTTCAAAAGGAGTAGTCCTGCTTTAAACTAAAAAATTGATAGCAGAAAGCACATACATTTCGGGCTTGAGAAACTGTATATTCTTAACATCGAATAATCTAACATCGAATACTAATTAAATTCTAAACAAAAAGATTTCAATTTGATGAATTCATTTCTTTAAAAAAAATTTTGGTAGTGGTCTAGTTTTTTTAAAACTGCTAGTAAAAGCTTTCCGGGCAATGTATGTGACGGATCAAGAAATTATAGCAGAAAAACAATATATGATTTTTGGAAGATAATCAGTTGATAGAGAGAAAATTAATGGAAGTTGTAGGCATTCCATTAAATACAAAGTCGATAATTTAGTACGTATATCAAGTTTTTAGTATCGCAAATTATATGCACAGTTGATACTGGAATCTATCTACGGCCTACGGCTCTTCTACTACTTTCTGTGCCTCTGTCCAGGACTGCAGACAAGGAAAATTCAATGACTTGGGGATCGCTTTTGCACTGAACTGGGAGAGATAACGTAAGCAAACTTATTAGATCTCCTTAACTTCATCTAGAACACCAAATGTTTTAACAAGGATACTACCCATAGATAACTCTACCGGTAAAATCTTTGAGGGCATCACAATAGGCAATATAATCACAATAATATATGTCTGCGATAGAAGTACTGATAACTATCCCTGAAATCCGCTCTGTCTTGGAATCCATGTTTGTCCATTAAACCTGTTCCTTTCAGCAAGATATTTAAGAAGTAGAAGGCATTTCCACACTAGTGTTACACAAATCTACATAGCACTATCTAATAGCGTTATCAACCAATAGGTATATGTGTTACTTACAATCTATCAGATCGGCCTAATCAACCTGTCATGTACTAAATTCAAATATTTATTGTAATTATTATTGGATAATTTATGTAATCACAAAATTGAAAATTATTATGAACGAAATTAAATTGTGGTTTGATAAGTGCAAATAAACAAACCGCATCTTGTACACACAGTCACTCATCCATCTACCTAGGACCGAACAATTGAAATGTCAGATTAATAAACCAGTTCTACGCATTTTGTGGTTGGATAAATATATAAATTGATATCTTGGTTTGGAACTAACCAAAGCTTATCTAATATCACTTAAATATAAACCACATTCCTCAACCCATGTTGCTCCACCGCTTACTATCCCCTACCAATCCCAATCCCCAGCACATATAATACACATATATATTTAGTTAAACATTTTTATTTTTATTGATTCGCACTTCACTTTTACTTTTACTCAAACGCTTGCAAGGCTTGTAACGCTCGGTGGTGTGCGAGGCTCTTGGGTGTTGGGTCGGTCGGTAGGTCGGTGGGTCGGTGGGTCGGTGGGTTGGTGGTGACCATGCTGAAGGCTTAGCGGATTTACGAGCAACAAATTCATGTACTTTCCTCATTTTACTATATTCATTTGGTTCTACCGGTTCTTTCGAATTTTTATTTTATTTGCGTTTCGTGTTTAATGGTTTTTTTTGTCAACATACTTGGTCAAAGTAAATAAACACACTTACTTTTATATGCGAACATCCGCAATCGATGTGGGTATATGCGTGTGTAGGGTGTGTGGGTGCAAATGTAAACACATAATAGCATAAGCACAATAATAGCTTGGTTTCCCATTCGCCTAAAGGCCAATAAGGCCATTTTCACTTAAGGCCACAATTCGATAATAATAATAATGACGAATTAAGGCGTTGCAGCGTAATGTGTAGCCTACAAACATTTATTGGACCCTGGGGATTTGAAATGTGCGTATGTAAAATATAATAAATAATGGAATATTATAGTTAATCAGAATGACTTTGTGGCTGAATAGAATTGTAGGAATAATACACTTCTCACATCAAGGGAAGTATTTAGCATAATCAAAATGAATCCATACAATCTAAAGGCTTAAGAATTATGAATTTAAAGCTATACAATTTTATTTCTTTATGAGTTCCTTAAAAATATAGTAACGAATACGAAAAACCTTTATAAACGAACTCAAAATTTTAAATTATTATTAATATTTTATTATGAGTATTATGCGGTACTAATAGACATTTCCACCGCAAAAGAAATTTCCATGATAAATTCAAAAACCATATTTTAAAAGTATCTGAAGTGAAAGGAAAAAAAGCTATGACAAAGGTTTCGAACTCTTGTAAAAATCGGGGATAATGTATGTTCTGTCACCAAAAAAATGATATAAAACACAGCGGTGACTGAAGCAACACATTCTTTAAGTCATACAATTAGATGTGAAATGAAAGGAAAGAATAATAATAAGAAATCCACGACTATTATATTGAAGTATAAAAATCACAGCATTTAAAATCAATTTTAATCTTTAAATGAATCTTTTAACATATTCTTTGAGATGATGTGTTATAACTGACTATTATTTTCTAGACACTATAACCCAAGCATGTTTAATCCATCTTCCGCATCGGACCGAAAAATAGATGTGTAACAATTCTTTATATTGCTCACAGCTACAATAATAATCATTGAAAGAATTATTCAAACTTCCAGTTTAAGTTTCGGACAGACAGTCATCTACCAACATTATAAAACTGTTGTCTCATTTAGAGGCATCTAAATGCTATAAGAAAATCGATAGGTATTTTCCTATATCAAAAACAGCCAATTAGCATGCAGAAGTGTGCACCTTGCTGTTCCTTTCCATTTTCTTTTTATTTGTTCCATATATTTAGATTGTCTTTCTATCACATTTTCAGCTATCTCATATAGCTTTGCAGATTTTTGAAATTAAAAAAAATAATTCTCTATGCCGTTTTTCTCTATGCATTTTCAATAGAATTATTAAACATGCTACATTTCAAGTTTTTTATATCTCTGGATCTGTCACTATTCACTTGTCCTAGAACTGTCAACGAATTGATTAAATATCCTTCTACTTATAAACCTTTCGAGTATTTAGTTTCTCTGGAACTGTTAAAATCTTATCTGACCTATGTTAGAATTGTCAGTGTAATCATTTGATCTTTCTAATCAAAAACCCACCGATTATTAAGAGTATCTGGATTTCTTAATATTTAACAGAATATCTGTCTAATTTTGACATAAAGATAGAAATAAATGTTAAAAAGGAACTGGAGACTTTGAAGATGAAGCTACGGCAACTTTTCAACTTTTAGTTTAATAACGGATAAGATTCTTTAATAAATAAAACTAAAGATCTTTGCTGAGATTTCTGAGTGGTTAATGGTAAGAAAAATTGTTCACGTATTCCAATATTCATATAGACTAATTCTTATATTTTCGAACGAACACTGTTAATGCACTAAGCGAGGGGTTCAAGTTAACTCCAGTTTAGATTCCCGAACATTCTTATATTGTAGGAAATGAGCATGCAGACGAGCTTGCTAGACTTGGCACCTCTTCCATGAATACCCCTATTTCAATTCCTGCCCCTGCCAGCTACAGTCGGAAGTTGTTTTGTGAACATTTTTTGCGACAGGAAAATAGTCAGTTAGTCCTTGCTGCCTCAGTAGTTAGGTCAAGGGCTACATGATCAATTTATTCAAAATATAGAACCTCTGACTTAATACACAGAAACAAATCACAGGTATCTAGGTTAATATCTGCCTTTACAGGCCACTTGACCATAGGGCAGTATGGAACTAGGCTTGGCTTACGCTGTGGTATCTCCTGCAATGCGTGTCTACCAGTTCTCGAAGAAAGGACACCAGAACGCCTGCTGTGTCTATGTCTAGGTTTGGCCAAAACTGGGCTTAGGTTTCTGGGGGCCACCTTTTTCTACACACTCAGCGATATCTCTAGCATTAACAATGGCCAGATTCTTGCCTTTATAAATGCCTCTGGCTGGTTCTAGCTTGACCTCCTCTCTACTACTGAAACGGCTCCCTTAGGTAATTGAGGAGGAATTGCTCCTCATGCATATATAGTATGTTATTATTTATTAATACATATTTATGGTATATAAATCCATACAATAGAAGCATTAAGAATTGTAGAAATGAAATCATTTGGTAAGAAATTCAAATTAATTACAGCGATTAAAAAATTTGATGGAATAATCTTAAATTATTTTTTGAGTTTTAATGACCTAAAAGCCCACATTTCATTTAAAACTAACTAGAATATATTCTCTTTGGAAACACAGAAGTTTGAAGCTTAATCAAAATGAACAAAAAATGTGCATAACCAAAAACTAAAATTTCAAATCAAAAATAAAATCGAATTTTACTACTTTTGTACTAACGAAAAAAATACATTTTTACTTTATGCAAACACAGATTGGATTTCAGTCGAAACTACACACACTGCAATGCATCCCTGCTGGTTAACGATACATTGGCCATGTCAGGCGATCAACCAACATGGCTTAAATTGCTGCCACCTCGTTTACATACCACAGAGGCGATTTTAAATACATGGTTGCATTTGGGCGGCGCACCACAAGCACCAATTGGCCTAATCATTGAATTGCCACCAGCACAAAGTGGTACCGGATTTACTGGCTGTTTGCATTCGCTGCGTATCAATGAGGAAGCAAGAGAAATATTTGGGTAAGTTCTATTTTCTACTAAACAATACGAAAGTAAAAAAAACATCACAATCATCCATATTAAAAAATAAACAAACTACTCGTACTACGAAAAAATCACAAAACTGTTTCCAACACACGGTGAAATTTCAATAAAATATCTCTGTGAAAAACTATCTCGTAAACTGCCAGAATAAATTGTAATTTTTAGAAATATTTTGCAGATTGGAAAATGGATTGGAAAATGTGGATTAATATTATGAGTGCAGCATTTTTCTTCGTTTTATATGCAAGGGCTTAACCAAACGAACACTAAACCATATTATAAAAAAAGCAAAATCTGAATAATATAGGCATTAACGAGAAGGTTACAGAGATATTGTGAACTCACAACCAAAACTTTTTCGGCAATGTATTGAAATTTTTAGCTTAACCTAATTTTTCATAAATGAAATTAACTAAAATTTATTTGAAATAATAAAAACTAAAATGTTTTGGGTAAAATTTTATTAATTAATTTGACAGTTTGTACAGGAAGGATGTAAGCAAATTTAACGAACAATTGTATGAATTCCCAAAAGCAATAAAGCATTAAGTATACACATAAATTAAATATATACATATATATTTAGGCATACATATATATATTGTATATTGTTTACATGTGAAAATATATATGCTTAATAAACAAACTCGCATTTGTTGATAGAATTCATTGTTAATTTAGGCCGTGTGCGAGTTCAAGTGAATTGATGGTAAATTGAAGGAAATAGTAAATTATGTCGGTATGGCAGCGAATGTTGGTAAAATCTAACCTCAAATATTTAAATTAGATGTTACCATTGTGAAAATTTTATACGATGTTTAATAAGTAAATAAATAAATTTGAAAACTTTTAACCAAAAAAAAATAAATAAGTGCAATAAATAAATAAATAAATATTTACATAAGTGCAGTGCAAAAAATCCCTAGGAAATTCTAATTTACTTTACCTCAAGTTACGCCCCAGTGAAGAGTAATTAATTTATTTTTATGATTTGATGATTGACGAATTACCACTCAAATTTAAAGAAGTATTTAAGTTAGATTTTCATATTGACAGCATATTGTTATTTCAATAAAAATAGACTTTCACCAGAACTCTCCACTAATTATAAAGCAAACCCCTTTGCTTCGCACATACATGTCAGCGCTCAACTGAATGCTCTGTCAATTGAAAAGTAAGTGAATTAGAGGGTATTTCATCAAGATCTGATTTTGAGATTTGCAATACTGTTTAATGGCTATTATTTCCAACATAAACAATTTATGTTCAGTACGATTTGCCATTGCAACATTATTAGATTTACATCAGATACATGATACATCCGTTGTATAATCTGAGCCTTACATAGTAGTAATACGAATTGCTGCGGTCGCTGTAAAACTTTGTTAGTAGTAAAAAATTAACGTAAGGAAGCGAATCGTTACGGGCGTTGAAAAATGGATTCTATACTAGAATATCTAACGCAAGCGATTATGAAAGCTCAGTGAAACAATCTCAAAGTTTGGACTGATGGCAAACAAGGTGAGAGTTTGGTGAGATCGGAAGAGAATTATTTATTACAAACTTCTCCAATCTAGTACAACGGTTAATTCAGTTCTTTACTGCTCCCAACTCCACCTCTTGTAGGCTAAGAGAAAAGGAGTTACGCTTCAACATGACAGTACTAGGGCACACATATCTTTGATGACTCAAATCTCGGAATAAATTAATAAAACTTGGTTGGGAAGTTTTGATACATCCATTGTATAACCCTAACCTTACATTAACTTACTACCATTTGTTTCGATCTCTGTAAAACATTGTTAGTTGTAAAAATTAGCTAAGCAAAGAGTTACTAAAAACCACTTGTCCAAATTTTTTGTCAATATAATATAAAACTTCTACACCAATGGAATTATGATGATACTGGAAAAATGATAAAAGATCATAAATATATAATAATGAGTTATAAAAACTTTATTCATTATTATTTTTGAATAGAGGAAATTTTTGTAGAAAAAAATGTACCTAAAATATGTTATTGTTTTTGTGTCACCCAAAATATTTTCAATGGCAAACTTGAATGGAATCGTAGGACCCGTTTTGTGACAAAGCATACACGTCTTTAAGACTTTAAGACTTGTCTCAATACTATAGCAAAGAATTTATAAGTTTATTACAGTTAAAACGACTCCAATTAAATAACCTGGCTGATTTAAAATAAATAGGTATAAGAACTATAAATTATTACGTATATGAGAAAACATCATAGACTACTGTGTCCGCTTCAATGAAGTTTATGTATGATTAAACTTTAGTCATAAATTATTATTATTATTATTAGGGGATATGGCGCTGTGACCGTCGGGTCCATTGTGGCCTCTACTGGGTTTAAAGTAGGTCTCTAAGCTCTGTTGCGTCACTAAAAAGTATTATAGAACCTACTTTACAGAATTTTATTGCCTCTTTCCCAGGCAATACTTTCCCAGGAGTCTATTTCGTATGTGCATTAGCGCAAGGCATTCTAATATCACACTCCTTATTCTCTTCACAGAATCCGTATGCATCCGTATGTATACCCAGTCTCGTAAGGTGGTGTTTTAGTTTACACTGCCCTGTTAGGATTCCTGTAATAATTCTAAGTTTTTCTTTTGATAGGTTTATATAATCCTGGTATCTCTTATTGTTATAGGTACCAATTAATGATTTAGACTTTGTTAATCCTGGTATATTATCCCAGTAATCCTTTTTATTCTGGTTCTGCTTTATTTTTATGAGATAATGAAATGTGCTATGTCCTAATTCACAATCATGGATAATATAATCTTTACTAAAATTAGTTTTCAATTAAGAAAACTTGTGTTCAAAAATGTATGAAAAAACGACTAATACTTTTTATATCATCAAATATATTAATTTTATTGGATTCCATTAAGATGGACGTACTAAACTTTTTAAAAAAAATTAAAGCATTTAATTTAATAAATTTTAAGATATACAATATTTCAATTTTGAAAAGCAACGAAATGAATGAGGCAAATTGTTTCTACAAATGTGCACATATCCTTCGCTGCAGAAGGAACATTGCCAAAATAAATTGCTTTGTCAAACAAATGAAATTAGAATCCTTTGCGTGCTTAATTGTCCAATGATTGTTATTTAAAATGTTTAATTTACTAAAAAATAAAACGCAGTAAAAACAATCCAACAAAACAATCCGAAACCAAGTTCGTACCTGCATTCAATTACACAAAATCCCTGCAACCAATTATATTTCTCAAATTCAAATTGTACACAAGCTTAATTATCCTTAAGGAAAATCACTCAATGAAAATGGAAATAAACCTTTTTTAGTGAAAGAAGCAATTTGTAAAGGGAGCAAGAAAACTAAGAAAAAATAACTCTTTTGATGGTAATAAAATGTTTAGTAGTATATATGCATGTCTATATATATAAACCGTATACATATATAGGGCCAAATTCAACAACAAAACTTATAATAAAACATGAAAAGAAATTAAAATTAAAAATGAGAAAAAATATTATTTAAGCATAAACGACGACAAAGGATTCAGTTAAAAATTTTATTTCATTTCAATTGACAGAACAAAATAAGCTCACGATAACAGCGTCGACAACGTCGACGACATCGACGACATCAATGACGACGACACCATCCAAAAGGACAACTAATGTACTAGCTAAGGAAGGACAAGTGAATTGGGCATGAAGCTAGTGTTTTGAGCAAGCTGCACTATGAATGGGAATATCGAGGTCAGAATCCATCCACAACAAGCAACGACCCCAACCAAAATCTAAGTAAGGAATTTGTATTCGGTACGAGCAGAATTTCAATTCAAAAACAGAAAAATTTCGGTACCACCAAAAGGACATCAGTCAGTCAGGCGGTATGTGCTTAAATCAAAAAATTACCTATACAACATGGTAATAGAACAATTGGCAAGGGCCGAGCAGGCGGTGATACGAGCATAATAAGTTAGCATAAAAATAAGACGATTTGCAGTAGGAAAAAACCAAACCCAAAATCACTAAAAGTTGGAGAAGAAGAAGAAAAATAAAAAAATAAAAATAAGAAAAAAGAAAAAAGAAAAAAGAAAGAGGAAAAAATTTTCATACAAATTTATAGAAAATGAAAAGCAACTAAACGATATGGAAATGAATGGCGCCATTCACTTAAGCACCAACACAAGGATCTGCGAAATGTGAATCTATATATATGATGCAATATCAGCCCCCACATATAACACAAATGCCTCTTACAAACACATGTATTCACCAGTAAAAGTACTACGTGTATGTGTGATGCTAGCGTAGCATAGAAAAGAAGCACTACTAGCACTAAATGCATCATCTAGCACTTTCGGTGGTTTCGCCTGTAAAATTATTGGTGAAACCCCATTGCTTCAAATGTTGTTGTTCTTATTGGTAAAACTAAAGAATAGGTTGATGTGTTAGTGTGTTAGCAGGTCGGTGTGGTTGTGCTAGTAATGGCGTTGGTATTCGATTCTAAAATACTTGTGCTGTTAATATTGACATTTAAATTAGCGTGGATAATGTTCCCTCTAGCGGCGAGGTCAAGTGGGGCATACAATTGAAAGTTAAATTAAATTTGTGTAAGTTCTTAGTGGGGGGTACCCGGGAGAAACGAGAGTGTAACAAAAGAGTTTTAGGCAAAAGGACTTTTGTGCCAATTTCATTAATTTAATTTTTCTACACCAAAAAAGTTAATTTTTTTTTTTTTTCGAAAAAATACAATAATTCATATAATTGAATACTTTCAGAACCAAAAAATCACTGAGTTCGCAATGTGAAAAAGAAATAATATAGACTCGCATTCACATACATTTATATATATAAATGATACATATATATATATATTATATATATATAAATAAAGTATATTAGTACGAGGATTTTTTGATATATTAAAGATAATTGTTCTTCATGGGTTTCAAGAAATTTCAAGAAAATTTTTTTTATTATCTGTTTATGACCTTATATTTTTGATTTAGATTGAGTAGATACTTATGGTATAATTTTGATTATTGGGATACGAATGGCATAACTTCGATTAATTTTTTTAAAGAACACAATAACAATAACAAAATAATTAATTATATGTGAGGTAATTAAAATGCTAATGTGGTGAAAAAAATATTTTTTCACCATTATATGTCAACTCATTCGTCAGCAAGTGCAAAAAAAAAATTAAAAACGTCTTCTGACTTACAATCACATATGTGTGCACCGTATTCATCAGATTGACCCCAACTGATTTGTATTAATTTGAAAATTTAAAGAAGCATCTTCTTGGAAAAAAATTGCAACCAACTTCCTATATAATCTCTACAACTGATACATACATCGAGAAATTCAAAAAATCGTACTTTTTACAAAAAGGTATAATATACTTCAAAAATATATGCACTAAGTGTATAAAACTATCCCTCATGTACCAAAATAAATTAAAAAGTAAGCAAAAATTTAATTTATTATTTTATTTATCACTGACTTATCAAACGACTATCGCATAATCTCACAGAAGTACTGCGCTATTGTCCATACGACTAACTTTCGGAAAAATTAAATACAATATATAAGCAAACAATTATTTTTTATAGAGCATAATAATGTGGCATACTTTTTTATCCTACATCTTTACAACATAAATTAATTATTTACATCTTTTTTAGAGATGCTCTCGATGGATTCGGAATCACCGAATGTGGCTCGTTGGCGTGCCTCTCAAGCCCGTGTCGAAATGGAGCTGCTTGTATTAAAATTGAATCGAATGAAATAGACGAGAACGGCGATAAAGCCGAGAAGTGGAAATGTAAATGTCCTACCGGTTATATGGGGCCAACGTGTGAAATATCCATTTGTGAAGATAATCCATGCCAATATGGTGGAACATGCGTACAATTCCCAGGCAGCGGATATTTATGTCTTTGCCCATTGGGAAAACATGGACATTACTGTGAACACAGTAAGTAGAGTAATAAAATAATTTAAGAGCAGAATAATTGAAATTATATATATATTTTTAAATTATATATTGGAGTAAGTAATTTATAAGTTCAAATACAGAGCATATTTTATGTATGAAAATTGGTTTAAGATTAAATAATAAATAAAAAATGAATACATTAAAATATAACATATATAATAAATATATTGCACATATTAAATATTACATAAAAATAAAAATAAAAATAATAATACTATAAACTTAAGTAATAAAAATAAGACAATTAATATTTGTAAAAAAAATAATTTAATATATAAAATTCATACAATACAGTGAACAAAAATAAAAATAATCTCTATAAACTACTAAAATAAACAAAGATTTCAATATTATTTCATAAATTAACAAAAATGAATTTATAAAAAATTTAAAATGATATTTGAAACATTTATTTGCAGTGTATTAAATAAATAATATACTCAAAGCATGTAAAGTTAGCTTCCAGACAAAGGACAGTTTATCTTAATGCACGATAAGAAGAAGTAATACTTATAGCATGAAAAGTTATATTCAATACAAAGGACAATTTATTTTCTTATTGCTGAAAACTCCTTCGAAAGCTCTTACTTAAACTTTTTTCAATCGACTTTCGATTATACCATAGTTTCAAAGCAGCAAACACAATAAATTGTTTACTCGATGGGAACCTTTCCTGGAACCTTTCCAACTCTCATATAAGTCAGTACAATCTGACTGAATGACTTACACACTCGGCATCGATATCATATAATAGCTCAATTCTCATATAAATCAGTCGAATCTGACAAAACTATACGAAACCGTATATATTCCTCTATACAGAAAAGACAAGAGTAACAAGACAGTTCTCTCGATATTAACAGTCGAAGAATAAAGAGCTAACTCGAAACTATATGTACTATGTCAGCTTAATGCAGAGATTGTTCACTCTTAAATAGGAGAAAATTCATCAATCTTATTGAGTTTCCCCCGAACGATATAACTGTAATAGTTGGTGTACTAAGTACTCACTCGGCAATCATGCTAAGAAAATAAATATTTGCTTTAATGATTCTTATAAAGAAAGTCTAACACATTAGATATACCATTGTCTAGTCCAAACGGAATATACTATATATTAAACATGAAGCGAAGTATATATTTAGAGGATTTTAGTAAGCTACAAGACCTACCTCCTAACGCTTTATTACATGTTTAAGAATGATATTTAGGCGTTTGAATTCTGTCCAGCAAGAGAATATGCCTGGCCTAAGATATTTTTAATGTATTTCAAACAAAAGTAATCACAGTCAAGATCTTACATTTTTCATGTATTAAATTCGGAGCCAGCCTATCCTGAGACTGTCTTATGTGACAGAATCTTTGACTTCTAGTCGCATTACATATTTTTTCATTGTTACTACTCTTCAAGGAGGATACGAAGGTAAATAGGAGTTTTACCTATTAAACTACTTACTTTCTACTTTCAGTTAAGAGAAAATCATTGAAAATCATTTTTTATCGTTACGGTATTATACCAAAATTCTTACGATCTCTCTATCTATCCATGAGTTTCATATAAATAATATATTATTTTTATTTTAATATTGAATTTATATCTCCATTTTAGTCATTATGCAAAATTGTACATTAACATTGTGAAAAAATAATATTTCAGATTTGGAAGTTGCTTTACCATCATTCTCTGGCAGCGTGAATGGTTTATCTTCATATGTTGCTTACACTGTGCCAATACCATTGGAATATTCCATAGAGCTTAGCTTTAAGATACTACCACAAACAATGTCACAAATTTCTTTACTCGCGTTTTTGGGTCAAGCCGGTTATCATGATGAGAAGAGCGATCATTTAGCAGTTAGCTTCATACAAGGCTATATAATGCTAACATGGAATTTAGGTGCTGGACCCCGACGCATATTTACACAGAAACCGATCGATTTTAGATTAGATGCTCCTCGTGTGCCATACGAAATCAAAATTGGACGTATTGGACGACAAGCTTGGCTTTCCGTTGACGGTAAATTTAATATTACAGGTCGTTCACCCGGTAGCGTTAGCCGTATGGATGTTATGCCCATATTGTATTTGGGTGGACATGAGATAGCAAACTTTAATACTTTACCACATGATTTACCATTACATTCCGGCTTCCAGGGTTGTATTTATGATGTACACCTTAAGGCAGGACAGGTAACGGTGCCTTTGCAAGAAACACGTGGTGTACGCGGACGTGGTGTAGGTCAATGTGGTACTCGAGAATGCCATCGACATGCTTGTCAACATGATGGCGCTTGTTTACAACATGGCGCTACATTTACGTAAGTTAAATTTAGTTTTTTTTTCTTTTAAAATCACAATTTAAATATTTCTTTGTAGTTGTATTTGTCAGGAAGGCTGGTATGGTCCTTTATGTGCACAACCCACAAATCCATGCGATTCATTTAATAATAAGTGTTCTGATGACTCAACATGTGTCCCATTAGTTAATGGATATGAATGCGATTGTCCAGTTGGTAGAACTGGCAAAAATTGTGAAGAAGGTAGGTGAATTCAATTCTTTTTTTTGCTTTGTTAAAATTAAGAAGGTCTCAATTCAGACTTCATCAAACAATATAAATAGAGTAAATCTTACTATTTGTAATGTTTAATCTTAATGGAAATAATTTTTCTATAAATAAAGCATAATTTAAGCAAATGTCAATAAAATAGGGACTCAATGAAAATTTCAAGTGTAGTATATGGGTTTAGTGAAACGAATAAAATAATTTTTTAAGGTAACGATTGAAATGAAGATCAGAAAGGTATTAACAGAAGAGCGAAAAATTCAAATACGGTCAAATTGTTATCTGATGGGACATTTAGCCTTACAAAGTTGCTTGGTCTCAGTTTGTTATATACAAAGTTGTTCCCCTAACCAAACAGAATGACTAGTTCGCTTAAAAGAGCTTTCAGTGTAAAATAAAATATATAATATATTATAAAGTATATGATATTTAATATAATATGTATTATATTTGCAATGAGTTGATAACCACAATTAAATATTTGTTACGGCGTATGTGCCTAAATAAACACTAATTTACAATGAGTTTATAACCATATTGAAACATTTGTTAGGACGTATTTGCCTAAATAAGCACTAATTTACAATAAGATTATAATCATAATAAATAGCAGGAGATATTTCAGTATGTTTCTGATTGAACATCTTAGTTACTCTAAGATAAAATAGTAGATACGTGTTTATATTCAAATAATAGCATAGGTCTGCAAATAATAAAAATATATTCCGATTCAGAGCAATATAGGTAATACCAGAATTTTGGTACGAAAAATAATTAGTGAACCTAAAAAGTAAAAGTTTTTGTTATTTGTTTGCTTACCTTCTTTCTCATATATTGAAGACTATATGAAGACTATATGACTTCACGCCCTTATCTCTAATAACAGATATTTATTATAACAACGAAGATTATAAATTCTTCAATTTAAATAGTATTATAGTAAATTTTATTGTGTATAATTCCAGAAATACGCTCGCTAAGTGATGTGTCACTTACTGGACGTCGCTCATATTTGGCTGTACGTTGGCCATATCTCTATGATAGTACAGATAAAATTGGTTCAAAACGTTCGCAGATGGTTAGCTATCGTAACTTTACTAAAAAATTAATGCCACCTAAACCAATATCATCACCAAGTCAACATTTTGTCATGAAACTACTAAACGAAGTAGAAAAACAACGCAATTTCTCACCAGTGCCATTAATGGGTTCAAAATCGTTCGAAGAACATCACCGTGTGCAATTCTTCTTTATCGAATTCCAGCTACGCCCACTATCAGAACGTGGTCTACTACTATACTTTGGCACTTTGAATAATAATCAAGATAAAAAGATTGGTTTTGTGTCCTTATCACTTCAAGGCGGTGTTGTGGAGTTCCGTATATCAGGTCCCAGTAATCATGTTACAGTAGTACGTAGCGTACGTATGCTAGCTATAGGCGAATGGCATAAAATCAAAATGGCACAACGTGGACGCTGGTTAACTTTGTGGGTGGAAGGCAGCGCTTCATCTGCGCTAGCACCCTCTGCCGAAGTACTTGTAGAACCCGAATCATTACTCTACATTGGCGGTTTGAAAGATTTATCGAAATTGCCACATAACGCCATATCAGGCTTCCCAATACCATTCCGTGGTTGTGTACGTGGCTTAGTTGTTAGCGGTACACGTATTGTACTCAACGAAACCAACATTGTCGGTAAGTCAAAATGATTTCTTAGTAAAAATTGAATGCTTAACAAATTTTTCAACTAATTTGCAATAGAGTCACGTAATATACGCGATTGCGATGGCACTGCCTGTGGTGGTGACTCCTGTGAAGCCGGCGGACATTGTTGGTTGGATGAGAAATTACAGCCACATTGCATTTGTCCCGAATATGCCAAAGGTGATCGTTGCGAATATTCAGAAACGTGTAAATTAATACCTTGTAAGAATAATGGACGCTGCCTACGCAGCGGTCGCTGCTCTTGTCCAAACGGTTGGGGCGGATTCTACTGTGAAATCGGTAGGTGTACAGTGAAAAGAAACGATAATAATTAGTATATTTATATACTAAAGTAAATGCCAACCTAAGAGTGTGAATGTATGTGTTTCTTCTATTTTGAAAAATACTTAACATTTTACTAATTATCAGCAAAACTAATTAATCAAAAACAATCAATGAGTCAATATTGCTTCTACTTTTGTTATTTTGGGTTTCAGGTTTCAGTTTTCAGTACGCAAAACAAAAACAACTTTGTGACTGTGGCTGTGACTGTGGCTGTGACTGTGACTGTGGCTGTGACTGTGACCATTTTGCTTTTAGATACTTTTCAAATTGTATTGAACACAAGCACAGATAGAATTTCACTTTTATGCAAAATACTCGTAAAACAATTTCCTGGGGGGATTTTGCAAAATATTGAGCTTAGCAGTGTTAAAGTTCATTAGCATAAGTTTATTATTATCTTAACAAATTTATGGAATAAGTTAATCAAATGATATTGAAGTACAACAAAAACAAAAACCATGCCGCAAGCCATGGGCAATGATTGGTTTCGAATTAGTATATATTGCAAAGAACTACACATCAATTTACATAAATGCATGTATTTATATTTCACCAAAGAAACATATATTAAATAAATATATATTGTATTATAAATTGCCTGCTGGGATAGGCAGGAAAAACAATTTAATAGTACTTCTGGAAATAAAAATTTGCTCTAGATTTTTGTCAAGTTAATAACGCTTTGTAATCCTCAAAGATTATTTCTGACATTGTACAGATTGTTAATACAGGGTTCGACGATTGAAGTGTTACCTATTCAAGCGACCATATCTTTTTTATGTGAAATTATTTTTTATTGATTCAAATCACAAAAATTTGTGGAAATAATCAAAACTTCAGAATCCATTCACTCTAGCTCAACGAGGCCACCTTTTGCCTTGACTATGGCCTTCAAATGATTAAAAAATAAGTTGCTTGCTTCACGAATGTGATTTTCTGGTATTTTAGCCCATTTCTGAAAAATGGCTTTCTTCAACGCATCCATACTGGCATATTTTTTAGATCTCACCTTGCTATCCAAAATGGCCCAGATGAAATAGTTCATTGGATTTGCATCTGGACCGAGTTGTCCATGTTCTACGACTAAGACGTTCGCATGCTCACGGCTCTCAAGCAACTTCCAAAACATTTTCCCAAAAATAAGTCGCATTGACTTTAACACAAGTTCGATGAAACCGATTGGAGAGCGTCCATCGGTGGTTACAGCTGCCTATACCACTACTTGAGATGTAAAATTACTTTAGGTGGCCATTCGTTGTCTCAAATTTTCGGCAGTGAACGGCAGTGCGTTCAGTTAAGTAAACAAGATCATTTTGAACGTTTATGAACTGCTCAATTGGAAATTTTTCTCATCAGAGAACACAATGTTTGGAAATTCACTATGTTCGTGCAAGCATAACAACTTTTTTCTATTTTTCAAGGCTTACAGGCAGATATGTAACCAGAAATAGAGAGCTTAAACGGCAGAATTTATTATCTCCTTTTGTCGTCCTTTATGAATCCAAGTACTAAATTTGTTATTATGTATTTTCATATTTAATGCGTCTTAACTGATTCATAAGACACATTTTTTTTTTAAATGCTGTAATCATCCCAAGTAAGCTCCCAAAGTAAGTTTCTTTCTACGGGCCTACTCGGAGAATAACTTTTTCAACGATAAATGATTTAAAGACATTGTCGCAAAGCAAGCTTAAGACAATATACTATTAAACTGGATAATAATAAACATTGATAAATGAGTTAGGGTGTCTCTTTAAAGACTATTTTAGAAAAATTACTTTCTTCAAGACTGACTCTAAAGTAGATTTGAGGAATTAGGTGTGCGATTAAAAATTATAGGAATTAAGACGTGACAATCAAAAGAATTTGATGATTTCTAATGAGGTATATAAACGTAGTGTTCTGTATAATAAGTATCCTTATAACAGATCGTACTCCATATTTCAACATGAATATTAATAGTTATAATAAAAATAATTTTGTTTTATAAAAACAAAAAAGAAAACCATATTTTATGCAGTTTTTAAATTTTTGTACAATAAAATATTAAGCAAGTCTAGCATAAATAATCTTGAAACAACTTCATCTTAATATATCTCTTAAACAATTATTCACGAAATAATAAATTTATTATACATTGTAAGATTGGAATATGAGTATGTATAGATGAAGGGCTAGATTTAGATGAATCACTTCGCAATACAGTTTCCAAAGAATTTGATAAAGCCCATAACTCAGTTATTTAAACGTACTTTTAATGAAAAATTAAAGTGATAATAAAGTTTCTTTCAAAAAAAAACAAAAGGAAAGAGCACTACCAAGGAAAGGAAATCAAAATTCTGTTAATCAAAATTTTATTAACACTTTCCTTACAGTCATGATATTTCCTATTATAGAAAGAGAAAATAAACCTAAAAAGCCCATCATCAAGACGTTCAGTGTTTAGCAAAACGGGTCACGACTTATGTTAGAATTTGTAACGTTGGGGTCAAGTGAAGTGAACTGAAGAAACTGCGTTAGTGGAGATTCAAAATTGGATATTAAAGCCTTTAGTTTTTCACTCTTCCCTCTTCAGTTTAGTGTTTAATAATGAAACTATACAACCAACAGTGATAAAAATAAAAATAAATTACAACTAAACTAGTATGGAAAGGTGAATCTTTAATTAAATATATATATACATATATGCGTACTTAAGTATACGATAAAGTTTATATAAATTTATACGACTGTGTATTTATAACAAAAACTTAACAAAAAATAATCCAATTCACGCTTTTATGAACGCAGCACTTAGATTTTTATTGTTCATTTATGGCTTAAATTTTTGTTTTCTTTTGAGATATTTCTCTACATTCATTCTAACCGATCTTCCGTTTTTTATTTGTTTTTTTTTTATGATTTTTTTTAGCTATGGGCAAGCCAACAACTCCAAGTTTCCGTGGTAATAGTTATTTAATCCTACCGCCACCACGCATACCGATGAAAGACAAACGTAAAGGGCCCTCTATGTATATGCGCCCTCGTGAAGCCATACAAATTTCTTTGAATTTCTCAACTATTGAACCAGATGGTTTGTTACTGTGGAGCGAACATGATCGTGTAAAATTTTTGGGTTTGGGCTTAGAGAATGGACATCTGAAAATTGCTAGTAATTTACTTGGCACCAATAATGATACCGTTGAAATGCCCTCAAGTGGTTTTATATCCGATGGAGCTTGGCATTTCGTGAAAATAATCTTGGATCGAACACGTATGGAATTACAATTGGATGGTGAAATTATATTCACTGAGAAATTGGTAGAAACATCGATCTCAACAACTGCAGCTACAATACGACGTACATCATTAGCATTACGACGAGGCAAGGAGCCATCCATTACCTATGAGGATGTCTTCTTTTTGGGTAAGTTGTTATTATAACTATAACCTTTTTACAAAGATGTGTCTAAATAGACATACGTATATGCATATTACTTTAATTGGTAGTTATGTGTGCCCAACGTAGTATATATATGATATTCAGACATTTAGTAAAATTTCAAAAATATGAACAATATATTTTAATAATGCAAAATATGATTTTTTTGAAATATATAATATTTGTACTTCTAGGTACATGTTCATATAAAGTTTCAACATATTGTCTTTAACGGAAAACTTAATACCACCCCTTTTTTGTAGCAAATCTATTGTTGAAAATAGGCGTATGATGTACCTTATATGCTGAACTGGATTTACACAATATATGATATTACTATATTATGACGTGTGTTGAACAAGCCTTCATACTGTACGTTACTAAACAGTATTCAATGCAAAGAAAACTCTGTATTAGTGACATACTAACTACTACTCCAGTCATTGGTGTAGATTCCATGTTATACCTAATTCTGCTTAATCTCATAATCAGACAAATCGTCTCATAATTTTATTTTTTTGAAAGTTGAAACTTCTTAAATATTATCAAATTTACCCATTTTTTTGAGATCTCCCATATGACGTTTGTGACAAATTTGCAGTAAACAATCCACTTTCGAAGAGATTCTAAATAATGTGCAAGTATACTAGCTTTAAAACTTAAGTCACTAAGGTTTTAGAACTAAGTTGTTATTGACCGCATATATAATGTTATTGTTGTAGCTCAAAGGAATCTATAATGCAGATAATATGAAAGACGTTACAAAGACGTGTGCATGGGTTGAGATGCGATTAGATAATGGTTGTGTGAGAGAGGAGAAGATGGGTGACCCACTATGTAATGGATCTATTTTATTACTTAGCATTTACATTTGAAATAATAACAAATATTGTTATAGCAACATTTACATTATAAAATATATTTAATTAATAATTAAAACTTTAATAAATTACAAACATTAAATGCAGCTGACGTTAAATTTTTGTTAACGTTAGTTATGACGGTAGTGACTGTTTTGCTTAATATAAACTATTGGATTTAATAGTGGGGTTTCAAACAGTGATGAACTACAATAACAAAAATTCTTTTAATATAATTTTTTTAATTAATTAAATTTTAGGCTGATTTTTTTGAATGATCAATTTTATTGTTGGAGTTCACAATAAGAGAGGTTCGAAACATCTATATTAAATACAATAGTTTCTATTAAGAAAAAATAGTAACTACCGTCATAACTGACGTAAAAAAAAAATTCAATAAACATTAAATATTATATTTTTTTTTTATGTTCCTAAAATAAATACAAAAAAAATAAATAAATATTGACGCTAGACATGATTAAATAAAAATATCGCATGCGATATATTTGTCATTCTACTTGTTACAATTTCATAATAACAACAACAAACATTAATAAATGTCAAACTTACCAACTTCATTTCTGCAACTTTTGGCAAAGTTTTTCTTTTAATTGCAAGTCGAGCTTTTTTAGTTTCTTAAATTTTTTTTATTTTTAAATAATTATGTTATGAATGAAAAAATTTATGCACAATAGAAATTATGAATAAAGAAATGAATTTGAATTTATTTAATAATATTAATTTTATTAATTTTTTTTTTATTTTAATTCACACACAAAAAGACGCTGCACGTTTCATACACAAAAAACATCTGATTTCTTTACCATTGCGACGGCAGAACTCAACTAACTGAAGCTTAAGCAATATTCCGGTGTTGACGTCTGCGCCGGCGTACGGTACTGCTAAGTTGCTGCCTTAGTTGTTGTTATATTCTATTCTTCAGTTGATTATTTTTTCTTTTTGTTTTTATTTCTATTTTTTATTTTCACACAAGAACACATTTTAGTAGTTTTTCAATTTTATGGCTTTGTTACTACATACACTTTTTATATCGGTTTGTCTTAATTATTTAGAAAATTAAACCGCACTCAAGTGTTTTTTCATTATTATTCACTTTGTTTATGAAAGAATTCTTTGATGCGGATTTTTAACTAACAAATTTAAATTCTATTTTCCTGTCGTATTGATACCCAAGAAACAGATTTTTTTCGATATGAGCTATTAGTGAAGCAAATGTTTGGTTGTGTGTGTGAAAAAACAATGAGAATAAGGCAACAGGGTTGCCGTAAGCAACCGAATTTAGTAATAGTAAGAATTTCTTTTAAACAATATTCATTATTATTATTTCATTTAAACAGTTTTAATTAAGTAGAAGTTTATTGCATAAATTCTAAAATATAGTAATAAACATATTATAATATATATATATAAAACACTAAGCATATATGTTATATATATATATAATATAAAATATATAATGCATTCAACATATAGTACATATATTATACACATTTATTATATATATAATATACATACGTACAAACAATTGACATTTACGTATATATAATAATTACGTGACTTACATATACAATATGTAAGGCACACATAATATAATATATTATTATAACATTTTAAATTTTTTCATCGACCTGTTTTTTTATTATAGTTTTTATGTATTTTTTTATCCAGCTATAGAACACTTTTTGTTAAATAATTCAACGTTTCTTTAATATTTTTCTAATACATTCTATATTTCGACTCTCATCATCAGGATCACGATCTAACATAAATTAATTTCAATAAAACTTTATCTACATCATCCTCTTAATGCTATTCTCTATATTGCAGTACAATACATTAATATATTAAAAAACTATTAAACAAACGTTGAATTACTTAACAAAAAGTGACCTGCAGACGAATAAAAAAAATATAAAAACCATAAAATATTATTTATAACTAAGTTCCAATTCCAAATCAAGTTATCTGAACTTCATTATATTCAAAATATGTATAATAATCACAATTTTTGCAAATTTAAACTTAACTTAAAGCTCTATTTCTTTGACAAATAATTTTTAAAAATTTTTATATGTCTAAAAATACAATCGTTTACAGCAGTTTGCACCTAAACCCTATATGCCTCAATTCTAGTACATACCAACAGGTCTGCTGAAGTTCACATAAATTCAATATAAATTTATACCGTTATAATGAGGAAACATATTCCATGCATATATAATAATAATGTTAATTACTTACAAGAATAACATTTCCAATTATGTGCTGTAAACCCTATGTGACCGGTTTTATTACATTTGTATATATACAAACATATATTTTTGTTTTTGTTCAACTTTGCCGGCTTTGAATACTAAATTTAAGCTGCTGTGAAGTCAGCTGTTTTATTGGCTTCGCTGACGAGCTTTTCAGAAGCAAGCAAATAAAACTGGAAATGCAAGATTAAAGCATTATTCATTAAATTTTACCATTTTTTTTTAATTAAAAAAACCATATTTCGTGATTTTTTTTTATTAGTGCAAACTTTTATTATATAAAAGTTATTATAAAAAAAAATTTATTCTAATATTTAGTTTATACTATATATATTTATTTATGTCCATTAAAAAAGTATTATACGTACAACTTTAGGATGAAATAATTTCCAAAGATATATCCAAGAGGTGCTATGTAAGCAGCAAGTAATGATTACAAATAAAAAAAATTATTAAAAAATTGTTTGGTCATAAAATAACAAGTATTTAAAAAAATTGATAATATAGAAAAATAAATTATTTTAAATACAATTTACTATTTAACATTTTTTCATTATTTTTAACAATTTTTTTTTTAATTTAAAAAATATTTACAAAAACACATTATATGTAAAAGCTTAGCTAATACTTAATTACCACAATTGGACTGATTGACTTTATATTTTCTAATACATACGCCATATTTTATTTACAATCATTATACCTTCATATCGTCATATCGCTGGACACCTGATCCTTCCACCAAAAATGTATCCTTCCACTACCGAGAATCGAATTAAACACTGCAATACTGTCTTCCATTCGACATAGCCAACCCAGCTCAATTAATATGCGCTTAACTGTGTCAATGTCGAGGTGTAGCTCTAATCGAATCGTTCCATCTAAGTCGTTACTAGTTGCCAACGCGAAAACGTCCATAGATCTTCTGAAAAATTTTTATCTTATATGCTCATAACACCTTCTCACCACTTTTATTGTCAAAGGTCTTGCACCATAAAGCAAGACAGGCTGTAGAGAGATTTGTAGAGCGTGATTTTTGTTTGTCGGGAGAGAATTTTAATTCTTATTTGTCTACTTAGGTTAGAGTAACATTAACATCTATTAACAAAAGTGATTCTTCATTGAACCTCTGAATGTTATGTATATTTACAAAGCAAGTTATCTGAATACCATCTTATTCAAAGCATATTTGATGACTACAATATGTAATATTCTACATAAAATAAGTCTAGGATGTAGTGTTTTTCTTTTACTTAAATCGGACTCTACAACAAAGTATATTACTAGAGGTTGATTTAAGCAAGTACAATACCCTTTATATCTTGAAACTATTAAGCTTACAGTATTAGATTATAGCATATCGTTTGGAATATCTTACTCAAAATTATTTTCTCTTGATGAACTGAATTTCTTAGCTTATCGGTTCTAATGAATAATCATCAAAATCTAACATTCTGATACTTATCCGGTGTAATATCACATTTTCTAGTCTCTAACACTGAGCTATATTTGTAATAGATATGAATAGGCTTTCAATTATGTGGCATCGAAACTTTTATATACATATAAGTATATAAAGTATTTACGAGGGTTATATTAATTTAAGAGAATGGTAGAAATACAATTGGCAAACCTATTAACTGTACCTTTATTTCTACTTTTACGCTAAAATATATGTTATACTATTAACAACATATACATACATATTTATACATGCATACATATATGTATATACATATAATCGTTGTTACCTACGAATATATTATAGTGTAGTTTGTAATTAATAAATGACGTTATAGATCAGGATTACCTTGAACCTTGAAAATATTTGCTTATTCATTGCATTATTTTTCCCATTATGGATGCCCATTTCTGCTTTTCACGATTATTTACAATTGACATATATATTATCAATTTAAGAATATGGTCACATATGGTTGTACGCAATGAGTACTGATGCGATATTCTGATTAAATATATTTAAATTATAAATATATGTGTTAATTATTTTTTTTATATAACTATATTAATTACACTCTCATCTAATAAAGAAATAAATATACTTTTAGCATGAATTAAAAAGTTTCTTTTAGGGAAGCTCAATCTGACCCAATTCTATAGGGCAGTCTCCAGATATCTAAAATTAAATTTTAGCTTTCAACATTTTTTTAATATATTAATATATATTAACTAATTATTAAAACTATCTAAATTTTTTTGTGTTCTATTTTACAGGTGGCTTCCCCAGTATGGAAGCAATAAGTAAGCGTACACAAGGACGTTTTGCTGAACCTTTCAAGGGTTGTCTACAGGACATACAGTTCGGCGCTGAACCAAAAGCAGTTATAACCGATTTCTCTGGATACCAGGGTGAAAATATAGGTTCTTGTGATCTGCACGGTGATGAACCGACAGTGATAATGGTATAAAAACATTCTAAAAGCAACATCTAACAAGAATCGAATAAAAAACTTACACATAGATCATTAGAGACAGAGAGAAGAAAAATATAAGAAAAGTATAAAAAAAAAAATAAACTTAAATATGCTGGAATAGACTCTTATACACTAGAAAAAACTTAGCAAGAAACTATTATTAGGAATTAAGCAGATGTTTTTGAATTTTATTGATTATTATTGGAAGCTACAAGAATTTACGACATAAATCAAACCATTATAAACAAACTTTGAACTTTGGATGTGTTGTTTAAATGTGTTTCCGGCAAGTACTTGGATTTTAATAATTAAGGATATGTTAGGACTAAAATTAACAAAACAAAAAGAAAACAAATAAGATGAAGAAAAAAATAATTAATTATAATAATAAAAATGACAACACTAAACTGAATACTTAGCGAACAAAAAACTATAACTGATTATTTTGTAAATTTTATAAATGTTTAAAAAACTAAAAAAAAAAAATATTAAATAAAAAATTTTAAATATTTTATGCAATCTGAGCAAGTAAAAAAATTAAACCGAATATGGTAAGACAAACATTAGAAACTAGATAAAAAATTTTTTTGGAAAGTTTATAAGAAATATAAAGTGGCGATTCGGTAAAAAAATTAATACAATAATAATAAATGAAATATATATTAATTACATATGTTGAAGCTACAACATAAGTGGAAGTTCTTTTATTAAGTGATAAAAAATAAAAAAAAATTGATTATATATGGACAATGAAGTATAGTCAAATCTCTTCAAGAACCAAGCCACACCAGAAGTACTTAGCTATTTATACTGACAGAGACTCTGCTCGGGAACTGTATGAATTATTTAAGTTCTTTTGCTGCTAGTTTTGGAGACATTTTACTGAAATTTTGTAAAACCATATTTGAAAAAGTATATACTACTATATATAATTATAATAAAATATAAACGAAAAAATGAATAAAAAACCCATTGAAATAATTATTATTATGAAGATGTTTAAACATTTTTTGTTAAATTTGTATGTTAAATAATTTAAATTGATCTCTTTTGTTAAATAATAAATATAAATATTTATTATATATATTATATATTTTCTTTGTTACTTACTTTGCAATCTGCCATTTAAACTAACAACAAATTATAAAAACAAAAACAATTCTACTTCTATACTGCCCCCAATTTCTGCCATATATATACTATTATTATTATTATTATTGAATATTATTTTTATTATTAAAAATTATTAAAAATTAAATTTGCTACTGTAACTTAAACCACCAATTTAATTATTAAATATACGTTTATCATAAAAATTTTATATATTCACAAGATTTTATTTTAAATATTTAAGTTATTATTTTTAAATTTAATTGTTTTTAATTTTTAGTTTAATTTTTGTTATTTTAAAGCTGCAATTTCTTTGCTGATTATTAATTTGTTAATAATTTTAATATATTTTTTTTAACAAATATATTAATTATTTTAAATTTTAATTTAAGGTTATTTTATTATCGTTTCTTATATAATTTTTTAGTTTTGTTAAAAACTTAATAGTTTGTTCAATTGAAACTTATATTATTTTTTTAATTTTTTATATAAATTAAAAATTTTAATTAACTAATTTGTAATTGATCGTTATAGCACAATTTAATTTTTTTTAAATTATTCATGTTTTTCACTGTTTTTTGTGTAATTTTTATTTTATTCTTAAACAACATATATTCTTATCTATATTTTTACTTTTTAAAACTATTTAAAAAATATTTCACTTTTTGATAATTATTAATTACTCAATTTACCAATTTCAACGAAAATCTTCAACTTTTTTTTATCATGAATGAATATTTTTTTTTAATTTTTCAGTTTTAATATTTTAAAAATATTTCATTTTATTGCTTTTACAATATTTTTAATATATTAAAATTTTTATCATATCTAAATTATAGAATTATTCCTTTTATTTTTAATTTTCTTCAAGGTGTAATTATTTATTTATTTATTTAATTTTTTTTTTCTTGATAAGTTAATATGTATAATAATTTTTTATATCGCCATTATTTCCTTCCTATGATCTATCTCTTTCAGCCTTTTATGTCGCCTTAAAGCAATTTTAAATTGTTTTCTTATAATTCGTATTGTATACTTTAGAGTATATAACAAAAAAAAAAATTACACAAAACATAATAATAACCTAATTGAAAAAAAAAAAATTATATACATTAGAAACAATATAACAATATTTAAATGTATTAAGTAGCAAAAATAAAAATAAATGAACAACATTTGAAATTATATATGTATTATTGAATGTACTTACTTATACAACTGAATTATGAATGTTAAATTAAAAATTAATAAAATAAAATAAAAATATACATTAACGCAAAAATATGATACAGAAACGCTGGATTCAATTCAACTAAATGTAACCAAACTTTAAGAAGTTTATTTATTGAACTCAATATTATTTAAAACTTTCAAAATAAATGTGGATAAAAAATAATTGTTTTTTTTTTAATAAAGTTTTATGAGAGAGAAGTTTAAAAAATTTTACCCATATATATATATACCCATATCGATGTAGTCACTTTGTCCATTTCATTGCGTGGTCATTGTTGGAGAAGAGTTTCGCTCGGATGCTTGTTTTAAGATTACCGGACAAGAATTATTTGTGGAATAATTTATCAGGTCATAATCAATCCCCTGCAGGAGGACCTGTACATCGTAAGAGTTTCAAGATTTCAGTGATAAAACTCTACATTTTTCGATATTAGTTATTAATTCATCCACGACTCCTTATGTCTAATTCCATAAATTAGTTTGTGAACAAAATTATTTTTTTACTATTTAGGATTTTAATGACACCAATTAGACATAAAATATATTTTTATCATAACTTCGACATTGAAAATGTTTTTTCTAATATTATCGATGAAAAATCAAATTTTTATTTTTATATTCTTCTTTACCAGAAAGAATATACCATTAACAAAAATAAAATTAAACATAATTAAGATTAAAAACATCGATTATCGATGTCAGCTCGATAGAAAGTTTCTGGCAAAATTTAATCGTTGAGCATTTCCATCATAGCAAAATGATGTATTATATAGTAAATTCTTGAATTTGATTTTGGACCTGTTATATGCTAAGTATTATTACTATCAAGACATGCTTAGATATAGTCAACTTAAAGAATATTGCTTAACGATAGTTGTATTGGACTTCCGGCACCGTGATTGGAAGCACTATTTATATCAAAAGTTTCAGGATTTTACATATCTAAATCTAGAGATTCAACGGAAAATCACTTTTGCTAACAGATGTTACTAAGTAGGCAATTGAGAAATAAAGCCCTCTCTCGACAAAAAGTTAGTATGTACGCTTGTAGAACTTTGGCAAAACAATACCAACAAAATATAGTCAGTAAATTTTTCAAAATTAGTGACAGTCGCATCGAACATATAACTTATTTTTCTGAGATGCTTTATAAAGCAATTAAAAATGGAAAAGTCTAGTCTCCATATACACTGTAATTAAGAAACAATATCGCGATTAAACTTTGAAACTTCAAACAAATCTTGATAAACATGGAGGACATCGCTACAATATGATATCTGCAACACTGTTAAGAGTTACAGTTAACTAAAAGAAAACGCCATATACATGCTCGAAGGAGCCATGCACTAATGCATGAACGAAGAAGGACCTTAGATATATATACTCAAAACCTGAGAATGAACGAAAACTTCAAAGCATCAAACAGATACTACTATTTATTAAACAAATAGGATTTACTGACTCTAAGTTCAACTAACACAATAGATCTTAAAATCTTAATTCAATATCCCTTCTTTATAAAAATAGTATTATTAACTGAATTGTCTAGATCGGAATGAGATTACCGTAAGCTACACAGTTTAGTGCTCAAGATGAGATATAATTAATTGTCTATTAAGAGTGATTTCATCTACTCGGGTTCGTATACAGCCCGGTGCACCGGAAATTTATTCAAAAATCGTTAAAATGCTAGAAAGTAAGAACACGGAATTTTATACATACAAACCTAAAAATGAAAGGAGCTTTAAGGTCATATTAAGAAATATGCATCCCTCCGTCGATATTGGGGATATAAAAACAGCTCTAGAAGAATTTGGACATGCTACTACAAATATATGGAATATGAAACATCGCCAAACAAAAAGGTCCCTTCCAATGTTCGTTGTAGAAATAAAGCAAAAACCAAATAACAAAGATATCTACAACATTAAAAGCTTACTCCACAGTCGAGTTACCTTTGAGCCACCCCATTTTAAACGTGAGTTACCTCAATGCTCAAGATGCCAACACTATGGCCACACTAAATCAGGATGTAGAAGACAACCCAAATGCATTAAGTGTGCTGGTAATCACGCATCGGCTGACTGCGAAAGAAAATCCAGAACAAATGATGTTAAATGTGTTCTTTGTGAAGGTAACCACCCAGCAAACTACTAGGGCTGCTTAGTGTATAAAAAACTGCAAGCGTCTACTTTCCCACCACTTAAAAAAAAATTTCTAAAACCTGATGCTGAATTTGTATCCTCAACTAATCAGCATCGAGAACAACACGAAAAACAGCAAACTTTCGCTCAACCTGCACGCGCTCAACCAGGTCAAACTACTCCAAATAAAAACTCTCAGCAAACTTACGCTCAAGTTGCTGCCAACCAAATAGATCAAATTTCTTCCAATAAAAATAATCTTCACAGCGATGCATTGGTGAGTGAAATGAAAGAATTGATGAAACTAATGCGGGAAGTAATGAATCAAATAACTACCATGACAAATCTTTTAGTAAGTCTTGTTTCTAAACAAACCATATGCCCATAAAGCTCGTCTTATGGAATGCCAATGGGTTGTCAAAACATTCCTCTGAACTGAGATTATTTCTATCAAAAAATAACGTAGATGTATTATTAGTTTCGGAAACTCATTTCACAAAAAAAAAGTTTTTTTAAAATTCCATCCTATTGTTTCTATCAGTCTCCGCATCCGGACGGAAAAGCTCATGGAGGCTCTGCAGTATTAATTAAAAGAACACTTAAACATTATGAATGTACTCACTATAGCACTGATGAAATTCAAGCCACAAATATTATGATCGAGGACTCAGTCGGACCAATTCTTATATCTGCCATATATAGTCCACCAAAACATAATGTGAAGGAAGAAATCTACACAAAATTTTTTTCAACATTAGGGAATCGATTTATAACTGGTGGCGACTTCAATGCGAAAAATATATTCTGGGGATCACGACTAATCACAACAAAGGGACGTGAATTATACAAAGCAGTGAGACTCTT